AACGTGTCCGTAACAACACGTAACTCTAGAAACACGAGATCTATTGTGTTATTTGTCGACAGTCTGACTGTGAATTCGGCATCAATATAATCCATAAAGATAAAGTATATTGTGTTAAAACTTCACATGTTCACAACCCTCCACTGGCTCAGCCTCCGTTGTGTCTGCGCTCTTTCCGCGGGAGAAGACCGTGGGAATGAGAGGCGGACCGAGTCAGTAATTAGGATTTCTCTGTAAAATAAGAGCTGGTTGGTGGATCAGATACAAGCCGAATTAAACCCCGACTCATAACGCTGTTGATTCACTGTCTATTATGTGTGTGTCGCTACTTTTAGGAGTTTTTTCGACCGTTAGAAAAGTAAACTACCCGGTTCGCTGCTTCCTGTCTGGTGCGGGGGAGAGGCGGCTCTCAGCGGCCGCAGCTCGATGCACCGCTCCCCGGACACCCACAGACCATAATAGTTACTGAAAACAACCTTATAACACTGGACAACCTGAAAGAAAAGGTTAATCTAACGTTAGCTGTGCTTTAAACTCTCTACAGCCGGCCTTAGCGCCGAGTTCAGCGCTTCGTGTGTTTGGTGCGTTAAAAGAAAAACAAGCTTAAGAAACCCCAGCTAACACGTTAGCCACCGTTAGCTACCTGCTGCGTTCACGGACGCGTCAGTTTCTGGCGTCGAACTCCTGAGGAGCAGAAATCCTCCTTCAGCTGGTTTCCTCCGACGAAACTGTCCATAAACAGCTGTGCACTGACCGTAAACGCTGCAGGCGGGTTAAAAAACGATCCTAAAAACCAGTCATAAGCAGCCGAGCACCGCGGACATTATAAAACAGTCGGTCCGCACCAACTGAAAACTTTACGTCCCTCCGCTGCAGTTACTCCAGGGGAAAGAGTCGAGGCCCTTTTCGGTTTAAATCCTGCATCATGAGTCCGCTCACAAAGCTGCATCATTCCCACTGACTGCGCCCCGAAGCGGCTCGGTTCCGCATTTTAACACTGTTTGCTGATTCAAGAGGTTTCTTTGTGGAGGCTTTGCGGTGCGGAGGCGTGGGAAGCAGCCGGAGCTCGGTCGCTGTTTCTGAAGTGGAGTGAAGGGAAAAGACTGCGGGGCTGTCGGAGTACACCGGGAGGGAGGAGCGGGATCGGAACTGACCCCGGACCGGTTGAAGGAGGCTGCTCCGGAGGCTGCACGGCGCGGTGCACTGATCCCCGGTCAGACACAACAGGTTGATCCCAGTGTGAGTGCAGAGGAGGCACAAAGAGCAGGAGGGAGGAGTTAGGGTGGACAAAAAGGGACACTTTTAGAGTTTAAAGGAGC